TGCTGGGCAGCGATGGCGCGCTCCTCAGACACTGAGGTGTCGCGGTGGGTGGCCTTGGCCATGGCGGCTCTCAGACGAACCTTCTCCGCATGGGCAGCTCGGTCGGCGAGGCGCGCTTTTCGGTCTTCAAGGAAGGACGTGCGCCGGAGGTGCTGTGCGACATGCTTGCTCTGTGGAGCCCCAAGACGGGTGAAGGTCTGGGTGGAGGAGCAGCGGGAATGGGCAGAGGAGATGGAGTTGCGGCGGGAGGAGGCAGCTGAGTCCTTGCGACGAGTCTGCGACGGTCGGTAGAAGCGGGCGGCGATGTGTGGAGGCGGGGTGAAGATGCGGGCATCGCCATCTTCTACCTCCTCGTCAGAGTTTGGTGGCATAGAGAGGTCGACATCTGCGGCGTCGAAATCTGACGAGGGAGAGCCAACTGATTCCTCCAGGTTGTACGATGGGTCGGTGAGGTCTGCCGAAGGGCGACGCATGCTGACGGCGTGCCTGGCTTCGATGGTATGGGGTTCGAGCGGTTGTTGTGTCGCAGTCGCGGGGATAGACGATAAACAATGTCTAAGGGGGTGTGTCACGTCGAGGTCGTCGAAGAGCTAGAAGGAGTTGCTTGAAACTTGACAAGTCTAGTGATACCGGCTTGCTGGCTGAGGGGAACTGTCGAGCAGTGTTTCTGTCGGTGGTGGTGGTAGTCACGGTGGAAGGCGAGGTGTTGGCCCAACACGGTAAAAAGGTGATTGATTGATTGAAGCCTGTATTGAGGGGAGGAGCGAGTGTGCGACCAGAGTCGATAACAACGGCGAAATGCGCTGAATAAGAGGAACGCTCTACAGGCAGAACTCGAAGAATACAGACGAGGTATACGAGCGAAACCAAAAAAAAAGGTTGGGAGAAGTGGTGTCTTGGTCGACAGACCGTGGGATGGGAAATCGAGATGGTTCAGGTCGGAGGGTGGTAAATCATGGCTGGAGCTGGTGCAGGTGCAGGTGCAGGTGCAAGTGCGGGTGCGGGTGCTTGGTGCGGGCGGATGCGTTGGGTGTGGGATGCAGGTGCAGCAGGGCCAGTATCAGCCTTCATTCAGCAAGGGCGACCAAACACCGTCAATCAAGTTTCGAACTTTTTTTTTGGGGCGGCTGGGCTTCGTTTGGACTGGGCTGGCTTGAGGGTGCTGGGCCGGGCTCACTCGGCAGGGCGGGCTAGTGCAGCAGCGGCAGAATGACCTAAGGTACGGATAGGTACCTACCCAAAACACCGCGCCAATGAGGAAAAGTCTGAGGTGCTGCTAGCCAAAAGGGACGAACCCACGGCGCTGGAATGACGGAAGCTTCCAGTCGCATTTGCCCACTGTATGCTCGCCCACTGTATGCTCTCCATTCCGCTGCTCTGCCTGCTGACCGAGCACACCTCACCTTCCTTGCCGCTCCACTGGACTGTGAATGGCGGCATTGAATTGCACAGGATCTGCAGGTATGACAAACATTGCGCTATCCACCAGACGGCTCTAGCGGCCCTTCCATCTTTGGCGAAGCAAGTGCCTCTCGTGTCCCACCATCTCCGTCCCCTGTGAAGGAGACGTCCCGGTCTTGTGTTGAGGTGAGTGAGCATTTTGTTCCATTCGAGGCATGGGCGGAACAACCGGGGCCTTGCTTATCCCTGGTCTCCCATCTGACATTGCAAAGGGGCTGATACTCGCCTTTGAATCATCCAGGACTCCTCCCCTTGGCCTTCTGATCACAAATGACGTGCCTGCTCTCCACATCCCCGGAAACTCTCAGGAGCTGAGTAGCCGTGCTGTCGCATTGCACGCAATGTCGCGTCTCGTCGCATCGCAGGATTCTGAATTCTACTTTACCTCAGGTTAACTTACTCTAGGGTGCAAGATCGTGAGCCAGTCCGCTTTAGGAAAGGCGCTGGCGTCATAGGACGCCGATAATACGACTCGAGTCACGTGGAAGGCCCGGCCCCGTGGTCGACGACCACCGGCCGCCACCTCACGGGCACTCCCAAGCGGCTGTGGCGCGGTCCGACGAACCTTGCCCCTCTTCCAGAAACCCCACGGCCGTCCGGTCCGTCGCAGCGACTCCGATAGCCACCACTACCACCAACACTTCGTGTGCCGTAGTTCCAACGGTTTGGCGCTCTTAGCGACACCCATACTGATAGTACCAGTATCGCATCGCACTCGGAAGCCAGCCTTGTCGCTAGACTCGACACTACTCCGAGGACATGATCATCCTGCATAAGGCCGTCCTATCCAAGGACTTGTAATCCGGTGCCATGTGGTCTTCAGCTCGGTGGCTTGAAGTACAACCCCTCGTGAGCTATTCGAATCCTTGGCAAATTGTTTATCAAGCACGGTATCGAAGCCCGGCTTGCCGATCATCCTTTGCATGGCCGTAGGATTCGCCCTCTTCATCAATGTTTCAGACGACTCCACGATGGCGTTCAGACACAAAAGATGGCGCCGGAGAAGCCAATCATGGGAGTAAGGCACCAACCTCCTCCATTTCTGCCATTACAATCTACGAAGCTCCAAACTTCTGTCACTTTGAGGGTCTCTGCTATTTCGGACACTATGCTGGTGCTATTCCGTGGTCTCCAATGCCTTCCACAGGCAAGAAGAGTATTGCCCCGCAGCTTCTCCTCCCGCTGTTTCCCAAGTCCTCCCAACGACTAATTTTTCATGAGGTTGTGGACTTTGTCAATTTCAGCACCCAGCTGATCTTTGCTCAGTCGATTTGACTCTTCCTACACTGACGAGGGTTCATTCACGGGAGAATGCGCGCGTCCGATAGTGCAGGAAGAGAAATCATTGAGGTATAAGAAGCCCTTATCATAACTTCGAATGTCGGTCTTATTCAACTTGTAACTTTGGGTTCCTAAGATCGACTCCTGGGACAAGAAATGAACGGAGCATGATTTTAGCCGCCGTGCATTGCAAGCATGCTGAACTGTCAGTGTCGGCTTGAACCAGACTTCGGCAAGGTCTGGAGGTGAGACGTTGAAGCCACCTGGAGGTAGCCATGCCCAATGACCGAACCACACACCTACACCAGTTTTCTCCGTATGCCTTCACTTCATGTCCCTCATCGCTTTGTATCCTGCATTTAATAAGGTGGAATACTATGCAGACGCTTCCCAGTGAGTAACTTCCCATAGCTGCTTCACACAAGGATGCGGCTCAGAGATTCGAATTTCACGAGAAATCTCAACAACAACTTCTCAAACCACGTATCAAAACTCTGGACTTCGAACGGTTCACATTGTGTGTTTCTCATTCTTAAGATGTTAGTACTATGACTAATACAGCGACTCCGTAGAACCGATGTCGAAGATCGCCTCACGTATGAACCTGCGTCTGTTCCACTGAATTTAACAAGGTCGAGATGGCCACGGAAAATACGCAAGAGATCGCAAGCTAGGTGCTTCCGTGTATTGCTTCGATCATACATATATAAAGCATACCTTGATTGTATATCCTCTAGAAACCGCAAATCGAAGCGAACCAGGATCAAACTTGGATGGATATCTTCCAGACTGTGGTAGCCGTATAAGTACAGGGAGCCCTCACCAAGCTCTTGTCCAACATGGTTCGTTACGTACTGTTTCTGACGCCGGCATGTGTGAACAGCAGGAACAGCAACTGAATAAGACAGCGACCAGAAGAAATGAAGGACGACAGCGATGCACCGATCCTTTGGAGACTCGGGATCGGTCAGTTCGAGGCGAGTCTCAGAACGTATTCGCGATGGATAATGCCGTCTCTGCCTCAAGTATTGAATCCCTAACGACGACTTCTACAGATAGTATTTGCCGATGCCATGTCAGCACCGAACGAGCCGATCTTTATATAGTCATCGCAATGGACGTATCCAACCTTTACGACGGCGGTCTCTGTTCCAATTCGGAGGTCATCTCATATTGATCCTGCGGACACAACGGCATCATGTACTAGTTTACAAGGCGACAATCCAGCATTAAAAATCTTTCAACGCACAAATCAATTTCTTTCATTTCCCTGAGCGATACATCGGATAGGAAGGCAGTCTAGCTGCCCAAGCCCCTACCATTCCCGTCTCTAAAGCGAGTGCCAAGCTCTAGGCAGTCATCATCCCTTCTTTATTCAGTCACATCACCCAACAGAGATGATGGATAACCAAGACAGATTCTTCTCAGGAACTTGAGAACGGTCAACGCCAGCTTCATGCTGCTTCCGGAAGCACACCATCGCCAGAGCCCAGAAGACAAACCATGGAGCAAGTCCCAGTCAATGCCATGGACAACGGACAAAAGATGATTGTCCCGTTGTCTTCAAAACACGTTGGATATTCTCTCATATAGCTGTCTGCCTGCTATTACTCGCGTATAATCCACGCCAACGTTCTGAGCCTCCAGCCCTAGAAGACAGAGATGCCTGCTATATGTCTTCGCCAAGGACTCTCATATTCGTGATATCCATCAACTCCCTTGCTTTCACCCGTGAAAGTTTTATCGCTTCCCTTACGTGGGTGGCCCTTCCAATCTGCTTCGACACAGCGTCTTTCAGGGTATATTCGCCTGGAGGTATCCATATTATCAAGAGACGAGGGACATCGGCGAAGAGAGGTAGCCACGCCAAATACGATGACTTGAAATGTTGGAACGTCTGCGGCTCTCACTACTAGGCGATTCAAGATGTCGCCTTTTCAATGGCACTCACGACACCAAGCGCTCAATTGTCCCATGATACGTCAAGCGGCTGGCAATCTGGCACGAGTGAATCACTAGTACAGCTCTCATCACATTTCAGTAGCGCTCAGATTGATGGATGCAACATAAGTTCGTCAGTTCAAGAGGGCAGCTGCGTGCGCCGGCCCCTCTATGCTCATATTCGGTCAACACCTCTAGTATATAACGTCCAAAGACCGACCGCAGCCTGATCCAAACATGCCGGTGCCAATGTAGGTGGGCACACAATAAACCCATGTATCATACGGGATGCGGTTCGAATGCCCCAACGCCGTTCCTCATGCCCTCAGCCCGATCCCCGAGCTATTATGTCCATGTTGCCTGTTGCCGTTAAGAAAATCAAAATGCAATAGATGCTCCCATTACTCGCTGATGCTGGCACCTTCCGCCATCCAGGGGTATCGCATTACGATTCCGCACGAGTCCAATCGTTTGCCCGACCATTTTTACTCTAGTCGGGTCATCATTAATTGTCGCTCCTTAGTTGTAAACTTCCACTTCGAGCCCGCCCCCCTTTTGTCTCTTCGTGCAGTCTCCACACATACTCGACAATAGTTTCGTAGCAAAGAACATACTGCCGCAAGCTTTGCACCATGCTGAGTCGCTGTTGTCGGAAATCCTCAACGGTATTCTGGATCAGATCCGTCGTGTCGCCATCCTCATTCAACCAAGCGGTGTCCAACGGGGTGATGTCAGGGGTTCCACGGCGCCCCTCAGCGCTGGATCGGCGACTGCTGGGGTTGAAGTCGAAAGTCTTTTCGCGCGGAGACACCTCCTCGGACTGCCCGCTCATCTTGATGTCACCATCCGAGTCTCTCTTTCTGACCGGCCTCGAGTTTGATTTGGCGTGTCGCTGTCGCTTCAGCATGTCGATAACACTGTCCACAGTACAAAAAGTTCCCGTTCGTCCACAACCTGCGGAGCAGTGAACAAGCATTGGCCTGGACCTCGAGTTCATCTCTGGCTCGTCCGCAGACTCGGGCTCTGGTGAAGCTCTGACAGCAGCCATAGTATCGACAGGCTTGGCGGAGCTCTGCATTGAGTTCGCCAGCCTGACGAGTCCGAGGAGTTGGGAGGGCTGTGCCGGGGCGCCGAAATCGGGCCAGGATGGGTAGTGAAGGTGGGTGATCTCACGCATCGGGGCGAAGGGGTGTGCTGCGTGGGACAGAACAAACTTGCGAACAATGACATGAGGAGTCTCGCCTTGAGGTGGCGCGGGTGATGCAGCAGCGGCAAGACCGGTCATCGTGGTGTTAGCACGTCGACGACCAGCTTCCGCAGCCGCCGCAGCAGCCGCAGCTGAAGGCGCCGCCGAGCCTTGATTGTTGCGGTGCTTGTCAATGTCAAGGGACACCTTCTTTTCCGAGAGAAGCTTCAATTTGAGCAGGCCAAAGTCCCGGCCTTGCCAGTAGGGATGGCACTTGAGTTGACCACCTTCCGATTCGGCGGTCAACATGACAATAACGCGCACATCCTGCTCCCAGATGACTGACCAGAAGTCCTGTGGAAATTAGCTTCGAACTCGATAACTGTAAAGGCTGGATACTTACATCGAATGTTGCCGGCAGCGGGCCCTGGGTCGCAATGTACCTCTTGTTACTCCTCGACGCTTTGATGTGGCTGGCGTTGACATAATCGCACGCTCCTTCGGGGCGGCCTTGGAGTTTCACCCGCGCATGCTCGAACGGCAGAATGTCCTTGTAGCGGTTCTTGACGCCCTTCTCAATGCCGCAAAGCTGGGGTACTTTCTTGTCCTTCTGGTCCCCGCCAAACATGGAGTATGCTGCCTTCATCCGCGACTGCTCCTCCTTCTCAATGCTCAAGAACTTATTCGAAACTTGCTTGCCGTGGTCGTTAGGCTTTGAGGCATCTCGGAGCCATCGAGGCAAAGTAGGTGACTCCAGGCCACTCGGCCGAGCGATGTCCAGTTGGCCCACACCATCGGCGAGATCCATGTTCTGGCGGATATTCGAGAAGAAAGGGTTCGGGTTGTTGCTGGCCATGGGTAGCATCACGCCTCCAATGACGGGTGCAATGCCGGGCCGGTCCCCCCCTTGATTGGCCGTTGATGGAGAGGCACTGTCGCCCTGAGGTCCATACCCCTCATCCACAAGGTCGGGATACTCATCTGCGAATGCTTTAAATCCGCCGCGCAGGATGTATGAGCCGCCCGCATACCCCTCGTTGGTGAACTTCTTGATCATGTTCATGCATGACACAGCATCACGCTTTTCCGCCGAGTGAGCGTCATACACAACCAGGTTCTTGGTTTCTTTCCACTTTGAGAACCGCTCTTCATTAGCAGGGTTCTGGAACGTTTGTTGCAGCTTGGTCAGGTTGAAGGTGGCCCGCTTCAAAAGCGTCGTGGGAATGCAGAGGTTGAGAGCGCCCTCGATACGCGCATTGGCGTATTGCTGAGATACTCGAAGATCCAAAAGCAGGAGTTCAGTGTTAGAGCCGCCGGCCTCGATCAAGCCCTTCAATTGCGCAGGTGAGATCAAGGACGGGCCGGACTCCATCGTCGGCGGCAGGGTCTCGGCTCTTGGGTGTCTCGCCGCTGTACTACGTGGTGATGGCGGGTCAACCTTGTTCTCGGAGATGGACATTCTCGGGTGACGATCATCAACTTTTGACAATGTCGTTCTACGCTCAAAAGGCGAGGGCGAATCAGTCGGTCTGGGTGACTCGAATCTCGGCAAGTTCAGGTTCAGCATCATTGGAGGCGGGTTTATCGACGCCTCAGAGTTGCGCTTCGAGTCCGCCGAGACATAGGCCGAATCGGGACCGTTCTCCTGCTCGACATCCATCCGCCCAGTTGGCCTCTCCTTGCTCGCCCGCGGGATCGAAAAATCGGAGGCCGTGTCGCTCGCGTGGGTATTCCATCTTGGCGGGCGAGGGCGAAGAGTCGTAGGGTTCGGCGGTGCTTGCGGAAAGTGAGAGGAGGACAGACTGAAGCCCTTGCCGCGGTTCAAGTCGGCCTGGCGCCTGAAGGCCTCATAGTCGGGGTTAGCATCGATGGGGACCTGCTTGGGCAGGGCGGCGGCGAAAGATTTGACGGATGACGTCGGGGAGCTCCAGTTGTCTCGTGGCATCACAGAGGAGTCTCTGGGGTCAGCAGATTGGTCGACGACGAGGCCGAAGTAGTTGGGACTCGCAGCTCTGGGTTCGGCAGGTCGTGCTGGCGATAGCTTTTGAGGGGGAAGAGACTGGCCAACGGAGTATGGCATTCTAGGAGAAGCAGCTGGTGTCGTTGGCTTTGGGCTCCTGGCGGCTGCTGAGACGGAGAGCTTTGATTGTGAGTGGGAGTGGCTATGTGTCTGGCGTAGACCAGGCGACGGCCTGCTCGCGGAATGGGGGGTCTTCATGGTGTAGTGGACGGATGTTGTCCCGTCAGTGCCCCTCTTGTCGAGCATGATGGTTAGTTTGGTTGAAAGAGGTGAGGTTTGGAATCAGGATAAGATGGGCAGGTTGGTTGTCGAGGGGGGGCGGATGGTGCTTTGACATGAGCCACGGATGCGCAGAGAGAGATTCTTCCGACGGCGGCCAAGTGATCAGGCCTTGGATCAATTATAGCGCCATTGCGGTATGGCGTTTAGGCGGGACGGTAGGTATGTCGTGTAGAGGAAGGATAGGGTTCAGATAGATGGAAGGAATTGGGAAGGGAAAGGGAGGGAGGGTGTGCAGAGGAGGCTCTTCTCTTTCAACAAAAGGAAGGAGGGAAGGCAGTGGGGGGGTCTATTAGGGAGAAAAGAAGGTTGCGGGGGGAGGTTCTGACGTGACGGCACAAGTGGCGATCTGAACCCGGTACGGTAGAGGGAGGAGTGAGGGAATGAGTGAGGGCGAGAGGCAAGGTCTGGTTGGGTAGGGAAGGCAGTAGGTAGATAATAATAATAATAAGCAGCAGAAGGGCAGCAGTCGATCAGAGCAGAGGCCGACTGAGTGACTGACTCCTCCCACCGCAGTATTCGCAAGAGGGTAGACGGAGCAGACAGACAGACGGACACCACCAGGGACTGAGAAAGAGCAAGAGATGCTTGCTCACTGGGGACACGGGATGGGGGTCCCAGGATCAATGTGACTTTTGACCGCGGCTGGGCTGAGCTGACAAGGAGTGTCGAGGACAGCGACGGACGGGGACAGGACCAGGCCGGGACAGGGTGGTGGCGTTCGGCGTCCCGAGATCCAGTTGTATGGGAAACCAAGAGACAGACAGAGGCTCCTCTTCTCTGAGAGATTGAGCGCGCAGTTAATGTCAATGGAAGGTCAGGTTCAGCTTCAGGATTTGGTTCAGCGCAGAGGCCAATTCGACGGCTTGACGGTGGGCAAGTGGCCAAGGCCAGAAGGGCGCAGTGGGGAAATGGAAGAACAAGCAACCAAGACAGACACGAGGGAAAAGGAGGACCTGGTTGAGTAGGTGCTGTCTGCGTGTCTGGGGGGGGGGGGGGGGTGGTGGCAGGCAAGGCGGACAGCACAGGTCGAGCAGAAAAAAAAAAAGGGTCCTTCCTGCTGAGAAAAACACTAGAGCTAGGGAAGGAACAAGAAGGGGAAGGGGGGCCCTGGCGACAGACAGGGAGGGAAGGATCCTTGGGGGTGGGCGCAAAGACGGAGGGGAGAGGGGACGCACGAAGAAGAAGGACCAAAAAAAAAAAAAAAGAGGCAGGTGTGGTTGTGGTGTCGCCAGCCGGGGCTCTCTTTCTCACGATGGGTTGGCGTGGTTCTGTTTTTGGAATCGTTTATCGTTGTGATTTCTTTTCTTCTTCTCTCTCTACTACCTACCTATGTATGGGATAGTGGACATTTCTGGCCGTTGATGGTTTGGTTGTTCTCACCAGTTAAAACAACGGCAACACAATATGATGTCCTGATCTGTTCCTCCCGGGTTGCTAAGGTATGATATGAGAGGGTGTGGTGGGAGAAACGCAGGTGGTTGAACAAGCTCAAGCAAAGGTCTCCCACAGCTCGCTGAATACGCGCTCTACTCTAGATAGGCAGGTACCCAAGGTCGATACCAACCAGAGACATGAGAGGGTGTGAGGCGAGGCATGGTACCTATTGCCTTGGTGGCTCTGATCCAGTGGCAGTCCCAGAGTTCCATGCCCTGAGCCCTGAGAAACCGACTGAACTGCGGCGGAAAGACCACACAGAACAGAGGCGAAAGAGGCACATTCAGCGCGGCGAGAGAGAACCCGCGGGTGGAGAGAGGAAAGGGCAAAAAAAGAGGGTGTCATGTCCGATGAGGTCGTGTGTCGTCCCGGACAGGAATGATCGGCGCCTTGGGGTTAGTTTGTGGAGACCCTGACCTCAGACCTGTTCAATACCTGAGGCTGGGGGGTGAAAAACATGCAGTGAATACCGTGCTGAACTAAGTGCTGACTGTGCACTTGCCGCCACTTGTTAGTCTCAAATGATTACCTCAGCCAGCCACACACTGTCCTGCTGCTTTCAGATTTGCACAGGGCGTCGCCACGTCCACGTCGTCATAGAATGGGAGCGCCTCCTTTGACCGGGTCAGCTTCGCACCCTCTGAGTGGCTGCTCTTTCGGTTGTGCGTCCCAGGAGGTAAAGCATGGCGCAAAGCTGGGCATCTGGACCCGTCGATTGTCGCGACCAAGTCGCGCCGGTGTACCTTTTCTTCTCTCTGTATTTTTTTTACCACTGTTTCCGAGCACACCTAAGTAAGTCAGTTTTTGAACAGATGGATTGTCTGCTGAAAGTTTATAAGAGGCGTCGTGACGAAGACGGCGCGTTGGCGACGGAGTGGCCCGTTGAGATCGTGAGATTCGCGCCAAAAGCAAGCAAAGGATCCCCAATGAACCGCCAGACCACTCGTGCAGACGCCAATCGACGGCGGGGAGCTGCCAAGCGGACTTGCAGGAACCTAGCACTCCAAAAGCAAGGCAGCGCAGGGACAGGCAGACGATGGATTTGTTGGAGGCGGCGCGCGTGAGACTGAGATCGGTAAGCTGGCAAGGTAGGGTCCAGGGCATAACACACCACAACGCGCCGCCCACACGCACCAAGAATTACCTGGCCATGTGCTATATTGCTTGGTTACTTGCTTGCTTGCTTGCTTGCACCACACTTATTTGCCAGCATCTAGGTCTCCTCACATTTAGTTGCGCCTTGTTTTGCATTCAGAACGAACAGCGCTGTGAACGGGCGTCTCCAGTGTCGTTGCAGAGAGCACTGCAACGATGGATACTTTGGCTGTACCTGCCCGGACTCTATCTGGCGGGTGGGTCCGCATTCAGTCGACGTCATACGGCCCATGTCCATTAGAAATCTAGCATCATCATCTCAATGTCGACCAGTCTGGACCCCTTTTCGGCACAAGCCCCCAGCCAATCGCGCCCTCCCATCCGTCCAGTGTGGGAGCACTGGCCGCCCGCCATACTGAGTACCTTCCCAGGAGTACCTCCAAGGGAGCGCGATCAGCAGCACCTCTGTCGACATACCTAACACAGGCGACCACCAGCCCAGCCATTCACTTCCTTTACCGAGTCCAGGAGTCCAGGACATATGGGGTTCGGGGCACGCACATTGTTAGTTTCGTTTGCCTCTCTCGCCTCTCCATCGCAGCGGGTGGTGATCGTTTCAGAAGAGGCGGCCGTTGGAACAAGACGACGACAGACAGCAATGAGATGCAAGCCCTCGACAGCTACTAACTTACAGCTGCTCAGAGCCTCAGAGCTTCGTCTTCTGCCTTTTTCTGCCCCCAAACTCGCCGCCCCCTGTTGCCGGGCTGACTTTCGGGAATGACGTAGTCGACCATTACGAACGGTCAGGTACCCGTCATCCATTCAGCTGACGTCTTGGGCTGGGGCTCCCGGCCGAATCGCACTGCGCAAACCCGCCAAAACTCTACTTTACGGGCCACAACTTGCGCGTCTCCAACTCTCTGCTTCTTTTGCAGTGCTGCGCTGTGCCGCGTGCACTGGAGAGCTTCTGAGAGAGAGGGGGGCCGGGGGGGGACGCGATTCGCGGCATCATGTTCATCGAGGGCCTAGAACTATTCCATCAACTCTGTTCGAGTCGTGTACCTGGGCCGCGAGGCGGTAAACGCACGCAGGAAACCATTTGACCTTGACACATTCTGCCTTTCAACCTGCTTTTTCTGCCCGTTACCATCAACTTGGGACATTTGAGCAGCACATCCACGTTGTATTGCGAGGGTTCATGCCGGATCACCGCCGCCCATCAAGACAAACTTTTTTTTTTTTTTTTTTTTTTTGATTTTGTCTTCCGGGGTGCAACGTACGCGCAATTGGAGAACAACATCGGGCAAGGGAACATGCATGCATACACACATACCTGCCTGCGCATACACGCCAGCCAGGGTTGCCACAACTTGTTTCTCAGACCAGCGCGGCTGCCGTTAAGACCGGACGACAACAATCAGGCACACTTGAAACTTGGGTAGACGCGGCCGCCGCTAGACGGTGAACATTCTTCCCTCCCAGGTGAGCCCCCAAGCCCGAGCTTGGAGATGGAGCTGGAAAGCTGGAAAGCTGGAACGCTGGAAGCTACAGGGTCAACTTTCCAGGTTTTTTCCTCTTTTGTTCTCCTCGGAGCTTCATCACGGGGTTTGTGGGCACGCTGGGTTTGGGTTCCGCACTCTTAGTGCCCCCCGACTAAAACGATGCACCCATCTTCCCGTCGTGAGGTTCGAGGAGTGCCGTTAGCAAGCAGGCGTTGACAGGTAACGACATGAACGGGCAAGACGGATCTCCTTAGTGAAGCACGCTATTACTATTGAGCATAGGACCAGGAGCGCTCCAGTTCAGGATAGGAAAATGCTAAAAGTGTGGTGGAATGGGCCTAAATGAGTCGGGCATCGGAGCCAGTTCCTGCTATGCTTCCAAGGCGCGCAAGTGGATGCGCGATCTTGGGTTGTCTTGAAGTTCTTGCCGTGTCTCTCCCGAGACCTAACCTGAATTTTGGATCGAGTCCAACCAAGTTCACGCACACCGCACAATTCTCATGTTCCTTGCCGCGATCTCCCAAGTTTCGAGTACCGGAGACGCTGGTGGCAATGCGCCTAGAGAACAAGTATTGGACGAGGAGAAGGTACAGATAGTGCTGATGGGGGGCAAGTCCAAGGACGAAGGGATTCTCGCCTCCGGTGGCTGTCGTCGGGGCTCCTCCGAAGTCCCGTAGTGTGCGTCAGGGACTTTGCTGAAGCCGACGTGCTGCTGCGCTGCTGATCACCATCCAAAGTATCCCAAGCGTGCAAAGAACTGTCCCATCTGAATTCTCCCATGTTACATTCCGCATCTTTCGCATTTCTCACAATCTTTCCCATCCTGCCCCCGTCTCCCCCCCTTTCGACACGCTGCTCACCCCCGTTGCCGTTGTCCTTGCCGTTGCCGTTTCCATTCCATCGGCTTTGGCTTCTGCCCGGGCATCTATCCAA